AAAATGCCGGCTTCGGGTGGATAGGGGGGGAGGAGGGATTCCCCCCTCATCCACCCGAGCCGGGCTAAAATGCCGGCTTCGAGTGGATGGGGGGGAGGAGGGATTCCCCCCTCATCCACCCGAGCCGCGTGAAAATGCCAGCTTCGGGTGGATAGGGGGGAGGAGGGATTCCCCCCCGCATCCACCCGAGCTGGGCTCAAGGAGGGGGGAAGCCGGGCTGGCTAGCTGGCAGTGCTTTGCCATGATCGGTTCCCTGCTTGGGGAACCGATCATGGCAAAGCAATGCTTAACAGCTGATTGGCGGTTTCAAAATGGCCACCGGCTGTTTTGCCTCACTTAAGAGGCACAGAAAATGGCTGCCCCTATGGAGGATCTTCGCTGAACGGTGAGTTTTCAGTCCATTGGAACGCATTAATTGGGTTTTAATGCGTTTCAATGGGCTTTTTTATTTCCCTTTACGATGTTTCCGTATAGCGATGTTAATCCTGGAACGGATTAACGTCGCTATGCGGGGCACCACTGTACAGGTAATGCACAGAGATACTGTGATGTTGGAATAAACAAGGTAAAGATATTTTTATAGATACAAGTACTGGTTTTTGAGTTGTAAAAAGTAAGCAATGAGTTGGAAGCTGAAAATGAACCATAGCATCTGGAATCCTTAAGGTTGATGTTGTTATTAGCCACAGATTTTAATATTTTATTAAAAGTTTCCTATTCCCCACCCCTAAGGTTCTGAGGCTCCGTAGGGATTTCTTTTGACCCGAGGAAGCCTGTGGGGACTAATGGCAATGATTGTAACAAGATCCCCTCTCCCCATTAAGGCAGGGCCTCTGGCTACTGCAGGCCGTAGAGAACTGCCAAAGGAGAGCCTTCCCTACTAGAGGACCTTGTTTTTTCCCCCACTGGTGACACAGCCAACACAGAAAAGTGTGGGGAGGGTGAGGACCAGGCCTCCAGCCTGCAACAGGCCCACCAGAAAATGTCCCAGGTAAGCCCTTGCCACACAAGAAGGCCCACCCAAGTACCATGACCCCTGCAGGAGCAGTTAGAGAAAATGGAGATGAAGCCTAGAGGCAAGGCTGTGCCACTATCCAGCCAAGCCTCCTAGGATCCTGGGTCTGTCAGACCTCCCCATCCCTTAGTCACCCCCCCCCGTGCAGTCAGAAACAAACACCTAGGCAAACACGGACCCACTTAACTGTTCACAATTCTGCTGTATAAAGATCTGTTGCATATCCTGCAAGTTCCAATGAACTCTCTATCAGTCCTAGGCCTGGCACATTGTCCTGCTCCCATGCCACACCAAACAAAGGCCAGTGTTGTGGGCAGGGAGGGCATTTAAATCCTATATTGCAATGCAGTGCCATGTACCCTCACATCTGGTCTCCTTTGGGAGGCAAAGACAGACATGCCCCAATCTGCCCTGGCTTGGGGCTTGGCAGAACAGCCCTGGCATAGTATTTGTTCCATTTGCCTTCAACCTATAGAAGACTGGAAAATATGTGAAGATTACCACTTGGATGTGGACAGTGACAGCAGAGGAAACTGACCGTCATGGAGGCTAGATCCCCAGTCTTAAGAATCTCCACAGGGTAAAATAAATGTAGTACAGAATCCTGAGCTTTGAGTTAGATTGAACAAGGCACCCCTCCCCCAGAACTGAGGTGGCTGTAGCAAGAATGGGAACTGGCTAAAGGGCCCAGATTAGAAAATCAGAAATATCCAGACTTGTTGATTGACTGCTAGTAGCCCACCATTGCTCAGCAGGAATTTCTGTTTCTCTGCTCCTCTCTGAAGAGGGGAGTTGTCCCCAGATGAAGGGAAACCCACTCCCCCCCCTTTAAAAACCTCTCAACAAGTAAGGCTGTAGCATTCACCCCTTGTTCTGCAAAATAAGTCATGTATTATTCATGTCTTTGCAAATGTGGTGGAGAGGCGGAGCGAGAAAGGTTAAAAGGCGGAGCCTGAGAGGAGTCATTCAAGAGTCGGTCAAAGTGAGAGTCAGAGTCAGGGGCAGAAGAGATAGAGATTGAGTTAGAGAGTGTTAAGATAAATAGATAGAGAAAGTGGTTGCGAGAACACCACCCATATCTCCAAGGAGACTTTCGGGGGGGTTCCGGAGAATGGGATGGATACGAAAGACAGACAAACCACAGTACTGCTGAGTAGAGCCCAGGGGATCTCAGCCGGGTCTTGTCTATTCCTTCTTCTCCAAAAGCCACGCTCCTTTTTAAAACCAAATAGCCAACACAGACATAACCATGAGATATACTCAGATTAATCTGGGCTCTAGAGATCTTTGGTAGCATACACATAAGGCCAATTAATATTCATCAGCTAGTCTGAACAAGAAACAATGCTTCTAGATAGAAATCAATCATTACTGTTTTATTAAAAGTAAAGAAACCAAATGTTTAGTTGGTACATTTTCAATACAAGGCACAGATACTTCCTCCCCCACTCCAGCTAGAAAATAAAGAAATGAAACTATGCTAACTAATATAAAGAGTAACCTAGTCCATCTCACGTGTCCTGGGTTCACAAGCTGATGTAGATGCAATCCAGGTGTTTCCCCTCAGTCCATGGCAGAGGAAAAATATTTGTAATCCATGATGGAACACACTCCACTTTTTCTCTTCTCCGTCGCTTCTTCTTCCCCAGAGTCCCCAAGGGCAAGAAACTTCTGGACAGGTCACGCCCCATATTCCCACGAGAGCTACAGAAATGCTTTGGCAACCAGGAATGTTTCTCCTTAGCAACTAGATAAGAGATAGCCGCTGTGGCTCATCTCAAAAACTACACAGAAATCCTAATTTAAAATGGATTCTATTGAGACAGGCTTACCCATAAAAACACATTTCACACATTACAGTGGTACCTTGCCTTGAGAACGTCTCTACATAAGAACGATTCGAGTTAAGAACAGCTCTGTTCGCAAAAAGTTGCTTTGACTTGAGACTGAAGCCTCGACTTAAAAACCAAAAAAAGAGAAAAAAAGAACTTTTCCTGCCCCTTTTTTGACCTAAGTTCACCTTAGGTCAAAAAAAGAAATTTTTTTTAAAAAAAATTGCCCCCTAGTGGTAAACGGCTTTGGGAGGAGAAGGGGCGGGGCTTCAAACAGCGAGCAGCAAGGAATCTGAGTCTCTCCAGATTTCTGCTGTATGTCGAGAATCCAGAGCCCCCCTGAACAATTGGGGGGCAGAAGGGGGGCAAGGAGATGCCCCCTTTTAGGTCGTAAGAGAGCGGAGGACTTGGGGGGTAGGAAAGCAATCCACCCCCACGATTTCACTCCTTCTCTAGACAAAGGATTTCTGTCGACGCCATTTTATGGCGTCTCAGCTGTAAAAGCCCCGCGGCAGAGGGAGAAGCACAAGGATTTATGAAGGACTGCGTCAACAGAGCCGATTAGTTTCAACGTTTGTAAGTAATGTACAAATAAACTTTAAATGACTGATTTTGAGGAGATAAGGCAATCGGAAGCGGCAAAAAAGCGTGAAACCCAAATAGACTGTTTTCAACTATTTGTGCTATGCTGAAAAGAGGAGCTGGAGCGATCAAGGACAGTGATTTTTGTTATTTATTTCCTGTCCTCGATGGGAACACACTCACAGTAACTTTAATGAACTTTTAAACCGAAGCTGGAGAAAGCTGGAGTCTGAGACAGCATAAATCATCAGCTTTGTTGAGGAACTGACGTTTACAACCTTTAAGTACTTTATGGCTTTCGGCTGGGAGAAGCAAACAAACAGCAAGCTGTGTCTCTCCAAGTGAGGTCTATTTTTTGAAATTAGGGATTGGAAAGCATTTTGTTCACCTGCCTTTTATTAAGGATGGATATTACTGGGCAGATTTTAGACGCTATTCAGAATACGAAAGTGAACATTATGAACTGTATTCAAGAGCAGTTTGCGGAACTGCACATTGTTCTTTTGGATTTGAGGAATAGAACGCAGAAATGGGAATCCCCGCAGGAACAGAGTGCTGGAGCAGAAGCAGACCAGCTCCCTTCGGAAGCACAGGAAGGAGAGAACTTGCTGGTTTGTGGAAAGCAGTGCAAAAGCATCAAAAAGCAGGTTAAGAAAACTGAGAGACATTGTGAGGAGGTGAACCAGAGGAATGGAAATGAAATGTGTCCTGATTTGGTGGGTGAATGTGGAAATCAGAAAAATAAAAAAAAAGCACAAGGGGAGATGGGATGATTGCAAATTAGGCACTCCTTGGCTTCAATGGCAAGCTATGATGTTTGGGAACAATCCAAATAATCCAAATCAGAGACAAAATAGCTTAACTGGGTTCCACAGATGGCATTATAAAACTAGGAAAAAGGGATAATTGAAATCAGTAAACGATTCTGATTATATTTGGAGATAAATGATGATTAAGAATTATCAATGGTGTGATCTGGTACATGTATGTTGAATATAATATTAGAAATCGAGGATTTTTAAGGTACACTTTAAGACCTAAATCAACTATAGGTTAATAATGTTATGAGAGATCTGGATAATAGAACATGGCAGATTATTAAGCTGGATAAATATAACTTGTGACTCTGTTTATGATGAATATAATATTAGAAATTGATGACTTTAAGGCATATATTTTATAGAAATGAAGTGTAATATGTTGAAACTTGGAAGGCAAGATATTTGAGCATACCTACTCTCTGAAACATTGATACTATATGAAACCTTGTGTGGAATACACACTTGTATGGATTCTAATTCTAATTTTTCTTTCTTTTCCTGTTTTTGCTTTTTATGATGCTAGTAGGGATATTTTGAGGAATGATGGGAAGCCAAGGATGCAAGAGAAATAACTGTTAGAATTTAGTACGATTTTTTAGGATGGATCACATTTGGAATGTCTATAGAATAATTAGGTTGATGCAG